GCTTTGGGGGCGGCTGTCTTTTATGGTTGAAGACAAAGGGATGAAATAGCGCTCCCAGGCTTATCAGGACGAGGAAATTCCCGACTAGTAAATTTTGTTCAGACTGGTTGTCTGCTCTCAAACCCTGTCTCCTGATAAGATGCCATCAATGACAATGTGTGCCCAAAACTTCATTAGCAATTTTAATTTCACCCTGTCCTGTGGTCCTATGATCTCACCCTGCCTCCATTTGCTCTGTGATATTTTATTACCTTGTGAAACATGTGATCTCTGTGACCTACACCCTATTCGTACACTCCCTCCCCTTTTGAAAATCGCTAATAAAAACTTGCTGGTTTTACAGCTCAGGGAGCATCGTGGAACCTGCCGACGTGATGTCTCCCCCGGACACCCAGCTTTAAAATTTCTCTCTTTTGCACTCTTTTCCTTTATTTCTCAGACCAGCCGACGCTTAGGGAAATAGAAAAGAACCCATGTTGAATATCAGGGGTGGGGTTTCCCCCGATATCTGCCCTCTCAGAAATCCCCAGGTCCCTACTGACCAAAACACTGGTCTCCTTTCAGCTTCCTCAACTCTGCAGTCCTGGAGGCAACTGGCCACCGTGCTCCATCTGACCGCTCTTTGCCTCCCTTGGCTTCTCAGCGTTTCACCATCCTAACCACTGCCGGCCAGTCCCGTCACAGATGCCCTCTGCTTCCTGCTGCGTTAAGTGCTGGAGCTCTCCAGGAGTCGCCCTCCACTCCACTCGCACACTCAGTGCCCTCTCCTCTCACATGGGATGAGAGCAGTGGTTCTCAACCATGACTGCTCAGGAGAACCGCCTGGAGATCTCTGGAAACACAGCACTGTTGGCCCCCTGCCTTCTGATTCAGATGGTCTGGGGCAGGGCTGAGCAGGGTCTGGGGCAGGGCTGAGCTGAGTCAGGCGTAGAAGCCTCTAGGAGATTCTAATGGGCAGTCAGGAATGAGAACTGCTGAGTTACAGGCCTTGAAGGAAACTGCACCACTCTAACACACCAAGATAATTTATTATTTATATTTTCAAGTATCCATTACAGCGACAAATTTGTGGCATTAATAAAAAGCACACATTAATAATAAAATAATTTTTTTTTTTTGAGGCGGAGTCTCACTCTGTCACCCAGGCTGGAGCACAATCTCGGCTCACTGCAAGCTTCGCCTACTGGTTTCACGCCATTCTCCTGCCTCAGCCTCCCAAGTAGCTGGGACTACAGACGCCCGCCACCACACTCAGCTAATTTTTTTTATTTTTAGTAGAGACAGGGTTTCACCATGTTAGCCAGGATGGTCTTGACCTCCTGACCTTGTGATCCACCCACCTTCAGAAACCTAAAGTGCTGGGATTACAGGCATGAGACACTGCACCCAGTCATAAAATAAAAATTTTAAAAAACAAACAGGTATTATAATTAATCACCATCTTCTTTGAAAAGAATAGTTCTATCGGCCTCTACAAACTTTAATGCTGCTTATAATATCATATGAAAGAATCTGTAATTCTGCAGTAAGAAACAGTATCCCACCTCCCAATCAGCTGCTGCCTCCCAAGCCCAGACAAACAAACAAAAAAAAGAATACCCAGCATTCAGAGCCTGGGGCACCATGGTTTTCCTTAGAATCTAACAGCACCTTTAAAAAAACCATAATTTGGCATTAAGCCTGGAGATATGGCTGCAAGCCACAGTCATTGATTTGCAGCTGAGCCAATGTGGCTAGGTATACACACTGCAAATGAACTTGTTTCGGTTCTGCTGCATCGATGACAAACGTGTGAGAAAGGACTTGTGTTTGTGCCCTATGTCACTGACACATTGGAGAGAAATATTCCTCCCATGTCTGACATCAAAAGGCTCATCTTTGTTCTGCCCAGAAACTGGAAAATTATTTAGATCATTCTCATAAAGGAAATACAGTCAGCAATTCATTTGCAAAGAGGTATGTAAGCAAAATTTGAGCTACTAATAGAAGTGATTGGAAAAAATCAAATCACTTTCTAAATATCTTTAATGATCAAGCCAATTGTATCCTTCACTCTCCATAGTTGCATTACAATTTCTTTTCTGATGTAATGTTAAGCAGTATCTATTCTCAAATGTACAGAAGTTGATAGGAAAGCTAATGTTCAGCTAGAAAACTCAAGGACGTTTTAAAAACTCATTCTCAGTGAGACTCAGTCAAATTTGGTCCTTCATAGGTCCTTAAAGTATTCTAGGAACACCTGAAGTTTTTGAAGTGAACTACCCATCCATATCCAGCATTTGTTAAAGTTTTTTCTTTTTAAAGCATAATACTTTTACATTAACCTTACATCTTGGA